GTACAATATAAGCAAGAATATATAGTAGGTATTAATACTTAGACAATAGATATATTTTTAAGAGATTTAAAGGAAGGGAGCGGAGTCTTTGCTGGGATGGGTCAGTTGTTCCACACCTTCACACTGGGATATTTTATGGAGGTCTGGGACTGAGAGGAGCACATGGGGGGTGGTCTTAGTAGCTCTGGGGGCCTTAAGTTGTATCTCTGATTATTACGGAACTGGAAATAATGGTGAATTTATAGTATCACACCGGTCTTTATTTCCGTATTAAAAATATGTATTTCGTAATGTTTACTCCACTCTAAGACAATTTTCATCTATGATATATTCACCGGAAATTAAGTATAACCGAGATATTGATTTTTCAAGATTATTACTTTCGTTCAGTCACCAGTGTCATGATACATTTACTTATGGTGAAGGTGGTCTGACCTCTCCGCTCACTCACGCTCCAGGCCTCCGTCTTCGCCTTTTAAGCGTCGGGGGCATGAACAACGGGGTTAGGTTAGGTTAGGTTTTCTTGGTTGGTTGGTAATATAATTTGTTATTTATTATAATAAAGAAATCTAACTTTTTCTGTTATGATTGTTGGGTGGTGGGGTGGGGGGTGGGAGGGGGGGTATCTAAAAATCTCATGATTTCCGGTGGAATTGAATATGAAATTCATTCGAAACTCATCAAAATACACAGGAAAAACCTATTTGTAATATCGAAGACCGGCGTGATACTATAAATTGATCGAAATAATTTTTTTCAAACAATTAATTGACAGATTTATAAACTAAGAGGGCACAGCAGTAGGTGTTAATATCTTCGAATTTTAACATTTTCAATTCACAAAATTGTTCGTTTGTGTGATCAGTATTTTAAGTAGGTCATTGTCCGCACAATTCTCTTCTATGCAGTTATCAGGGGCTGTCTTTTTGAAGAGCCAGAGGCCCCCATAGTGTGTGACAGTGTATCAGGTGTTGGTAAACAAGATCATGATAGATTTCTTTCATTGCTGTGAGAGTGAGTGACTGTCGAGTGTGATACATGATACCGCACTGTTTATTGACTTTACTGTGGATGGCTTGTATGTGGTTTCTCCAGTTAAGTTTCTCATTAATAACTCCGAGGAATAAAGTATTTTGTTCGAGTTTGAGGACTGTATTACCAAGGTACAGGGGTCCAAGTCTGGGGGTAAGGTTTTCCTTCTTTTAAAGATCGTGTAGTGGGTTTTCTCATGGTTTAAGGTCAGTTTATTACGTATTACCCAGGTCCCGACTATAGTCAATTCATTGTTCATAGTTCTCATCAAGGGATGGAAGTCTTATGTGCTGGCATAGACTACTGTCGTCTGCAAATAAGTTGTATTTTATGAGTGTGTTGGAGTGGACTATGTCGTTTATGTACAATAAAAGCAGCACAGGACCAAGAAAGGAACCTTGGGGGGACGCCATACAAGATTGGTGAGGAGTCAGATTGGTGATTAATAACAGACATACTGCATCCTGTTGGACAGATATGAGGTAACTAGTTATGGGACAGGCCCCTAACGCCCTAATGTTCAAGCTTTGAAAGGAGGATGGTATGGTCGACAGTATCGAAGGCTTTAGAGAGGTTCAGAAATATTCCTTTTACTTTTTTATTTTATCCTCTTCAACAATGATTGGCTCGTTAGCCGCTCGGGCGATCGGACAAGTATCTGTTACGCACTGTTGGCAAGTACTGGGCATGCATTGGCTCCTGAGTGTATCTGAACCTGCTCAAACTCGGTGCCGTCACAACACACTCTGGCTGATTGTTCCAAGAGTTCACCAATCAAACTCCGAAAAAGTTTCCCTCGCAGTTTTCTGGACTTGCGGCTTCTTCAACCTTGAGCTGTGACCCCTTGTGGGGCGAGCGTCCGCCAGCTCCAGGTAAGGACACTCTAATCTCACAAGGTAGCTGTGGTGCCGTAGTGCAGGCACCAGTCTGGTGGCCCTCCTTTGGACATTTTCAACCAACTGACAGTCCCTAGCATATCTCGGGGACCAGACGGGGTGACAGTACTTCAGATGGGGAAGCACTTCACTCTTGAAGATCGTTACGAGGGACGGACTGTCTAGGTATCTGAACAACCTTCTTATAAGACCTAATATTTTAGTTGCTTAGTTCAGCTTCTCACAATGGCCCGAGAACTTCAGCTCTTTGTCAACATACACACTTAGGTCCTTCTCACACACAGTCTCAACTAGTGCAGTTTCTTCATCCCGTTGGGACATATGATACGCCTCCTTACCGTTGGTACGCCCCAGGTGCATCCTCTTACACTTCGTGACATTGAATCTCAGCAGCCATTTCTAAGACCATTTTTGAAGCTCACAGAGATCCTTCTGCAGCTCTTCACAGTCTGATTTCCCGAAATAACTTGGCGTCATCCGCAAACATTTGTATGGTGGAATGCATAGCTTATGGCATGTCATTTATTAAGCAAACAAAACAGCGGGCCCAATACACTGCCCTGTGCTACCCCGCTTGTGACGGGTCCACTTGACGATTTCGTGCCATTAATCACCACACACTGCTTGCGGTCATGTAGAAAGTCTTCTATCCACGATAGGACATTTCCCCAAATTCCGTACCCTTCCAGTTTGATTTTCAGCCTTTCGTGGGGTACACTGTCGAAAGCCTTGGCAAAATCTAGGTAAATATTGTCTATATTACCACCCGTTCCAGAATATGGCTCCAAATATCCAATACCTTGAGCAATTGTGTTAAGCAGGAGCGCCCCGGCGTAAAATCGTGTTGGCAATCCTTTACGAGGTTGTTTCGTAGCAATGTTCCATCGCGGCATCTCTGATAACACTCTCAAGTACTTTACATATTATGCTGGTCAGGCTCACCGGTCTATAGTTGTTCGTGAACCCAATGGAAGTGAATGTAAGAGTGGTCAGTCGTTAAGGCGGGTACGAGGGTGTTGTGATATCGAAGGGAACTGTCCGCCAGGGTGGCTGGAAGCGCTGCTGTGTCTCAGCTTTGTACAGATGGTCTAGTCCAAACATCTTCATGTGTGTAGCTGTAGTTTGGATCCATTTAGACTCACCAGTTTCATGACTCACATATTGTAGCAGTTTCTTAGAAGTAATGTTATCAGGATCACCACGCAGAAGCCTCAGGGCTCTCATGAGGTTGACTTCATATCTTTAACACTGGGTATACCTACAGTAGTTCTTTCCTCATATTAAGTACTTCAGTGCGCGCGTGTGAGTGTGTGGAGACGGCCCTCTGAGGTCGTTATGACATCACCCCCTTGCTCCTCCCCCACACTTCTCCTTCACCCCCTCCTCCCCCACACCCTTCTCCTTCACCCCCTCCTCCCCCACACCCTTCTCCTTCACCCCCTCCTCCCCCACACCCTTCTCCTTCACCCCCTCCTCCCCCACACCCTTCTCCTTCACCCCTCCTCCCCCACCTTCTCCCTTACCCCCCTCCCCTCCCCCACCCCTTCTCCTTCACCTCCTCCCCACACCCTTCTCCTTCACCCCCCCTCCTCCCCCACACCCTTCTCCTTACCCCCCTCCTCCCCACCCCTTCTCCTTCACCCCTCCTCCCCACACCCCTCCCCCACACCCCTCTCCTCCCCCACTAAGGGTAACGGGAGGTACAATATCAGTTAGTACAGGAAGAGTCAGCTTAAACACTATATACAAGAGGATTAAGTAACTATTATACAACAAGAGGATCATCTTACAGCCTCATCATGAGATCACAGTAATGTCCCCGCGGTGTTCAGTGATGCTTACAGCTTTTTAGAGAGCTTAGGCAGTTGGTGGTGTGTGTGGGGGGGGCACCCTGGTACTGTGTGTGTAATAATAATAATAATAATTAACGGTTTATTGAAAGAGCATGGCAGCCATAAGGGTGAAAATATACAGTTACATAATTGGTGAATGGGTCTCTTGATTGACCAATAATATACAAGTAACATAAGTGATACAAATATGATATATAATAACTCGGTGGGGAGAAGGTCATACTACAGGGCATTTCAACAGTGACAGTGCAAAAAGGTAAGATTGACTGGGAGTGAATACACTGGTTGATTACGAGTTGTTGATAATTTTTACAATGGTTGGGACTGGGCTGTTCTTATAGCGATCAGTACGTGCTCGTATGGGCTGGATGTGGTTGTGGTGTCGAACAGCAATTTGCCGACGAGGGATCTCGGGTGGTAGTAGGAGCTGGTGTCGAGGATGGTGCAGAAGCTTTTCACCAAATTTGCAGATGAGGTCGTGGTGATGGTCAGTGAGAGTCGAGAGGGTCAGTGTGTTGAGCGCTTCTTGATATGTGGAGTAGGAAGGGGAGAGAATAATCTTGCATGCCCTCTTTTACACTTTTTCTGGGTGTTTACGTTGTGTGGCATTTAGGGAGGAAGACCAGGTGGGGGAGGCATAGGTGAGCTTGGGAAGTATGAATGTTGAGTAAACACTGAGGAGCTCGGGGGGCAGGAACTCCGAGGGACTTGAGTCAGCGGAGGAGGTGGAGACGGAAACTGGAGGATTTGACAACTGTACTGACGTGTGGTTTCCAATTTAGTTTATCTATAGTGACGCCGAGGAGCTTAGTGGAGTCTACAACCTGGTGTGTGTGTGTGTGTGTGTGTGTGTGTGTGGTCAAGTCTTACTGTAACACCGACGCCATGTTGGATTCTGTCTTTACGTGGAAGCTTGTGCGATTGTTTTCAGTGACTGAGTGACTGTTTTATTTTGTGAGTAACTGTCTTGATGAGTGACAATGTGAGTGACGGCTTTTTGAGTGATGTTCTTTCATTGTGAGTGTCTCTGGATGTGACTGAGTTATCCTGTGAGTGACTGCGAGTAACGATATTTTTCTCTTGAGTGACCGCGTGACTCTAATTCTGTAGTTGTCTGTGTGAGTGACAGTTTTCTTCCTTGAGTGACACTTTACCTCCATCAGAGAGGGAGTGACCAATAGTGAGAGAGTGAGTGACCACAATTGAGTGACCTAGCTACCGGTGGCACTGGTAAATTGGCACTAGTAACACAGAGGACGTTGGCACCCATGTGAATTTCCCGTGGCACTGTTCCTGGCACTGTTCCTGGCACTGTTCCTGGCACTGTTCCTGGCACTGTTCCTGGCTCCGTTCCTGGCACCGTTCCTGCTGTTCTGGCACTGTTCTGGCTCTGTTCTGGCTCTGTTCCTGGCACCGTTCTGGCACTGCGTTCCTGGCACTGTTCCTGGCTCTGTTCTGGCTCTGTTCCTGACTGTTCTGGCTCTGTTCCTGGCACCGTTCCTGGCACTGTTCCTGGCACTGTTTGGGACCACCACTGACACCACTAGAGGGATGTTGTGGCTCTCTCCTGTCTGTCTGTCTGTCTCTGTCTGTCTGTCTCTGTCTGTCTGTCTGTCTCTGTCTGTCTCTGTCTGTCTGTCTGTCTGTCTGTCTGTTCTGTCTGTCTGTCTGTGTGTGTCTGTCTGTCTGTCTGTCTGTGTCTGTCTGTCTGTCTGTCTGTGTGTGGGTCTGTCTCTGTCTGTCTGTGTGTGAGTTGTGTCTCTGTCTGTCTGTCTGTGTGTGAGTCTGTCTCTGTTTGTCTGTGTGTGAGTCTGTCTCTGTCTGTCTGTCTGTGTGTGAGTCTGTCTCTGTCTGTCTGTCTGTGTGTGAGTCTGTCTCTGTCTGTCTGTCTGTGTGTGAGTCTGTCCTGTCTGTCTGTCTGTGTGTGGTCTGTCTCTGTCTGTCTGTCTGTGTGGGTCTGTCTCTGTCTGTCTGTGTGAGTCTGTCTCTGTCTGTCTGTGTGTGTGGTCTGTCTCTGTCTGTCTGTCTGTCTGTGTGGGGTCTGTCTCTGTCTGTCTGTGTGTGGAGTCTGTCCTGTCTGTCTGTCTGTCTGTGTGTGAGTCTGTCTCTGTCTGTCTGTCTGTGTGTGGAGTCTGTCTCTGTCTGTCTGTGTGTGGAGTCTGTCTCTGTCTGTCTGTGTGTGTGTCTGTCTCTGTCTGTCTGTCTGTCTGTGTGTGTGTGTGGTCTGTCTCTGTCTGTCTGTCTGTGTGTGAGTCTGTCTCTGTCTGTCTGTCTGTCTGTCTGTCTGTGTGAGTCTGTCTCTGTCTGTCTGTGGTGAGTCTGTCTCTGTCTGTCTGTCTGTCTGTGTGTGTGTGTGTCTGTCTCTGTCTGTCTGTCTGTGTGTGAGTCTGTCTCTGTCTGTCTGTCTGTCTGTCTGTGTGAGTCTGTCTCTGTCTGTCTGTGTGTGGAGTCTGTCTCTGTCTGTCTGTCTGTGTGTGGAGTCTGTCTCTGTCTGTCTGTCTGTGTGAGTCTGTCTCTGTCTGTCTGTCTGTCTGTCTGTGTGTGTGAGTCTGTCTCTGTCTGTCTGTCTGTGTGTGGAGTCTGTCTCTGTCTGTCTGTGTGTGTGAGTCTGTCTCCTGTCTGTCTGTCTGTGTGTGGAGTCTGTCTCTCTGTCTGTCTGTCTGTCTGTGTGTGAGTCTGTCTCTGTCTGTCTGTGTGGAGTCTGTCTCTGTCTGTCTGTCTGTGTGTGAGTCTGTCTCTGTCTGTCTGTCTGTGTGTGAGTCTGTCTCTCTGTCTGTCTGTCTGTCTGTCTGTGTGGGTCTGTCTCTGTCTGTCTGTGTGTGAGTCTGTCTCTGTCTGTCTGTCTGTGTGTGAGTCTGTCTCTGCTCTGCTGTCTGTGTGTGGAGTCTGTCTCTGTCTGTCTGTCTGTGTGTGGAGTCTGTCTCTGTCTGTCTGTGTGTGAGTCTGTCTCTGTCTGTCTGTCTGTCTGTCTGTGTGGTCTGTCTCTGTCTGTCTGTGTGTGGAGTCTGTCTCTGTCTGTCTGTCTGTGTGTGGGTCTGTTTGTCTGTCTGTCTGTGTGAGTCTGTCTCTGTCTGTCTGTGTGTGGGTCTGTCTCTGTCTGTCTGTCTGTGTGTGGAGTCTGTCTCTGTCTGTCTGTGTGTGAGTCTGTCTCTGTCTGTCTGTCTGTGTGTGAGTCTGTCTCTGTCTGTCTGTCTGTGTGAGTCTGTCTCTGTCTGTCTGTCTGTCTGTCTGTGTGGAGTCTGTCTCTGTCTGTGGTCTGTCTCTGTCTGTGTGTCTGTGTGTGAGTCTGTCTCTGTCTGTCTGTGTGTGAGTCTGTCTCTGTCTGTCTGTCTGTGTGTGGGTCTGTCTCTGTCTGTCTGTGTCTGTGTGTGGTCTGTCTCTGTCTGTCTGTCTGTCTGTCTGTGTGTGGAGTCTGTCTCTGTCTGTCTGTGTGTGAGTCTGTCTCTGTCTGTCTGTGTCTGTGTGTGGAGTCTGTCTTGTCTGTCTGTGTTGTGTGAGTCTGTTCTCTGTCTGTTGTTGTTGTTTTTTTGTGTGTGAGTCTGTCTCTGTCTGTCTGTGTCTGTGTGTGGAGTCTGTCTCTGTCTGTCTGTCTGTGTGTGAGTCTGTCTGTCTGTCTGTCTGTGTGTGGTCTGTCTCTGTCTGTCTGTCTGTGTGTGAGTCTGTCTCTGTCTGTCTGTCTGTGGGTCTGTCTCTGTCTGTCTGTGTGTGAGTCTGTCTCTCTGTCTGTCTGTGTGTGTGAGTCTGTCTCTGTCTGTCTGTCTGTGTGTGGGTCTGTCTCTCTGTCTGTCTGTCTGTCTGTCTGTGTGAGTCTGTCTCTGTCTGTCTGTGTGTGGGTCTGTCTCTGTCTGTCTGTCTGTGTGTGAGTCTGTCTCTGTCTGTCTGTGTGTGAGTCTGTCTCTGTCTGTCTGTGTCTGTGTGTGTGTGAGTCTGTCTCTGTCTGTCTGTGTCTGTGTGTGTGTGGAGTCTGTCTCTGTCTCTCTGTCTGTCTGTCTGTCTGTGAGTCTGTCTCTGTCTGTCTGTGTGTGAGTCTGTCTCTGTCTGTCTGTCTGTCTGTCTGTGTGAGTCTGTCTCTGTGTCTGTCTGTGTGTGTGTGTGTGAGTCTGTCTGTCTGTCTGTGCCTGTGTGTGTGTGTGAGTCTGTCTCTGTCTGTCTGTGTCTGTGTGTGTGTGTGTGAGTCTGTCTCTGTCTTGTCTGTCTGTCTGTCTGTGTGAGTCTGTCTCGTCTGTCTGTGTGTGAGTCTGTCTCGTCTGTCTGTCTGTCTGTCTGTGTGAGTCTGTCTCTGTCTGTCTGTGTGTGTGTGTGAGTCTGTCTCTGTCTGTCTGTCTCTGTCTGTCTGTGTGTGAGTCTGTCTCTGTCTGTCTGTGTGTGTGTGTGAGTCTGTCTCTGTCTGTCTGTGTGTGAGTCTGTTCTGTCTGTCTGTGTGTATGTGTGAGTCTGTCTCTGTCTGTCTGTCTGTGTGTGAGTCTGTCTCTGTCTGTCTGTCTGTCTGTCTGTGTGTGTGAGTCTGTTCTGTTCGTCTGTGTGTGTGAGTTTGTCTCTGTCTGTCTGTGTCTGGTGAGTCTGTCTCTGTCTGTCTGTGTAGTCTGTCTCTGTCTGTCTGTGTGTGAGTCTGTCTCTGTCTGTCTGTCTGTGTGTGAGTCTGTCTCTGTCTGTCTGTGTGTGAGTCTGTCTCTGTCTGTCTGTGTGTGAGTCTGTTCCTGTCTGTCTGTGTGTGAGTCTGTTCTGTCTGTCTGTGTGTGTGAGTCTGTCTCTGTCTGTCTGTGTCTGTGTGAGTCTGTCTCTCTGTCTGTCTGTGTGTGAGTCTGTTCTGTCTGTCTGTGTGTGAGTCTGTCTCTGTCTGTCTGTCTGTGTGTGAGTCTGTCTCTGTCTGTCTGTGTGTGAGTCTGTCTCTGTCTGTCTGTCTGTGTGTGAGTCTGTTCTCTGTCTGTCTGTCTGTGTGTTGTGTGAGTCTGTTCTGTCTGTCTGTGTGTGAGTCTGTCTCTGTCTGTCTGTCTGTGTGTGAGTCTGTCTCTGTCTGTCTGTGTGTGAGTCTGTCTCTGTTTGTCTGTCTGTGTGAGTCTGTCTCTGTGTCGTCTGTGTGTGAGTCTGTCTCTGTCTGTCTGTGTGTGAGTCTGTCTCTGTCTGTCTGTGTGTGTGAGTCTGTCTCTGTCTGTCTGTGTGTGAGTCTGTCTCTGTCTGTCTGTCGTGTGTGAGTCTGTCTCTGTCTGTCTGTGTGTGTGAGTCTGTCTCTGTCTGTCTGTCTGTGTGTGAGTCTGTCTTCTGTCTGTCTGTGTCTGTGTGAGTCTGTCTCTGTCTGTCTGTGTGAGTCTGTCTCTCGTTCGTGTGTGAGTCTGTCTCTGTCTGTCTGTCTGTGTGTGAGTCTGTCTCTGTCTGTCTGTGTGAGTCTGTCTGTGTCTGTGTGTGTGAGTCTGTCTCTGTCTGTCTGTGTGTGAGTCTGTCTCTGTCTGTCTGTGTGTGAGTCTGTCTCTGTCTGTCTGTGTGTGAGTCTGTCTCTGTCTGTCTGTGTGAGTCTGTCTCTGTCTGTCTGTGTGTGAGTCTGTCTCTGTCTGTCCGTGTGTGAGTCTGTCTGTCTGTCTGTCTGTGTGTGAGTCTGTCTGTCTGTCTGTGTGGAGTCTGTCTGTCTGTCTGTCTGGGGGCAGGTAATATCCTGTATAACTACGTGGTACTGCCGTGTGTGTAGTTGTCATCGGTACACTGTCATGTGTCGTAGGTCATGACACAAATCTACCAACATGACTAATGCGTGTCACGGCTCACAAGTGACACGCTTCTCCCCTTACCGGTGTCAGATGTTCTCTCTTTCTTCTCTAGATAACTTAACCTAACCAAACATATGGCCCAACAAAAAGTGTTTTAACCTAACCTAACCTGACCTAACCTAGCCTGACCTAACTTAAGCTAACCTGGCCTGACCTAACCTTATATAGTGTCAATATTTATAACTGCAAATTCTCACGGAATTCCCACCTCCTCACAGACCCTGACCCTCCTCACACCTCCCACTCACCCTCCTCCCACTCCAACCTCCCCACTCCCCCCCTCCCACTCACACGCCCCTCCCACTCACCCTCCCCACTCACCCCCTCCCACTCACCCTCCCACTCACCCCCTCCCACTCACCCCTCCCACTCACCCTCCCACTCACCCTCCCACTCACCTCACCCTCCCACTCACCCTCCCCACTCACCCTCCCACTCACCCCCTCCCACTCACACCCCTCCCACTCACCCCCTCCAGCAATACGTAACTGAACGAAGTACGA